TAATTCTTTATTACTCACTAATTGTTATTAATAATCTTAATTATGTTAAAGATTACTTTTAAATTAGCTGTTAATCTATTCTTTTAATATAGTATTTTCATCATCAAAAGTCACTTTTCTTTATGTTTGAAAATGCTCTTTATTAAAATCTAATTTTTCCATAAAATTTTAATTCAATTTTTATCTTTACTTTTTTAAAATAAGATATATTTTCTATAATAAATATATATTTTACTTGTTTTTTATTTGCTTTTATTCTATATCTATTTATTAATTTTATTTTTGTAAGTTAATTTGACTTAACATTATGCTTTATGTATTCTATTTTTAAGTTTTTGGTGTAAAGTTTGTAATTTAACTCTCCATTATTATTTTAGAAAAATATTAGCTTTCTTATATTTAATTGGATTATTTTTAGCATACTATATTTTTTAAATGTTCTTCACTTTTTTTTTTTTTATAAACTTAATTAACTAAAAACATATTTATATATTATTTTTGTTACTATATGTTTTCAAAATCATCTAAAAAAAATTCAAATATTCCTTATAAAAATAAATCTTATTCTTAAAAATTATTAAGAAGATATTTCAGCTATATAGATTATTAGTAACTATTTTTAAATTAAAATTCTATGATTTTTTAATTTTGTTCATCATAATATTCTTTAAAATTTTCATATTCATTTATTAAGTTATCAAATTAAATATTTTATTTATTAATTATTTTTATGTAATTAGTATTTATGCCTATATATAGTATTTATTCATTTATTATATTTAATTCTTCTTAATTTTATTTTAATATTTTAATTATTTAAAAACAATCCTCTATTGAAAGTGATTAAAGAATAATAATATTGTTTAATTTAAAATTGTTTATTATTTAAGAATTTGATGATGAATTTATAAAAAAGATGTTCCCTTTAATGATTTGTTTTAAAAGTTGATAAATTTTTAAATAATTATGAGGATTTATATTAATAATACTTATAATTGTCATTTTTTTTAATAATAATAAAATATTTATTATATTTTTTAAAGTAATAATGTTTTAGTGGTAATATCTTTTTTTTTTAAAAAAAAAATAATATATATCTATTTTTTTTTATTTTTTTCTTTTTTTTCTTTTTATAAAAAAAAGTAAATAAATCAGTCTTTTTTATTTTATAATTATTATAATTCTTATATTAATTATTATGTATATTATTATGTTATATTTTATTATTATTCAATCATTTTTAGTTACTCATCTAATTATTTTATGTATTTTTCCATTTCTTTATGTTCCTTATCAAGCTTTTTATTTTCTTTATATAACGCGATGTTTTCAGTTTATAATTTAGTAGTCTAAAATGCTCTTTAAAGTTAATAATCACCTTTGACATCATAAATTTTATAAGTATTTCTATTTATACTTCTAAGTGTATTTTGATTATAAACATTACTAATAACGAAATTGTTTTAATTCATTTATTCGAAAATTTATTCGATTGCACTTCTTAAAAAAGCAGCATTATTTATTCCATAAAATACTATAGGTTCAAATATAAAAGGCTCTTTTTTGTGTATTTTTCTAAAAGCAAAATATTATCCACAACAACAAACATATTTTTCTTTTGTTTAATGAAGTTTGTCTATATTAAAAGAATCAAAGTCTTCTACTTCTTTATATTCTGCTTCATCTTATAAGATTTGCTTATGGTCGTTTTCGTTTGAATTTTTACTTTTTTTTTATAGTTTCTAAAATTATAATTAAGTTTAAATTACGTATATTAAATTTTTAATTATGTGTAGTTTTATATTTTTTTTTATTAAATAATTTTTTTAATTTATTCGGTATCTTTTTCAATTATATTATTCCAACTTTTTCAAAAAATTTTTAATTTAAAAAAAAATATTAATATAAAAAAAAATATATATATATATATATATATATATATATATATATATATATATATATATATATATATATTTACTTTAAATCAATTGTCAAACTTTATAAATTTTTTAGATTTTATATAAATTAGCATATAAAAGGTAAACTTTTTTCTGTTAAATTATTATTACTTTTTTTTATAAAATTATATTTATTTTGTTTTATAAATTTACATACTAAAAATTTAATGAGATTTTTTTAAGGTTTTTTAATTTCAAAAAGCTTTCCTTTAGAATATCAATATGATTATCTTATATTTTACATCCTCTTTTTTTTATAAAAATAAAATAAATCTTTTTAAATATTTTTTTTTTAATATTTATTTATACCCTAAATTAATTTCAAAAGAAAGTAATTATTCTAAATGTTTTATTCCCTAAGCAATTATATTTATACCTTCTAATTTAAGTTTACACCACATAAAATTTATTTTCAAATATTTAAGTCTTTTTAAATTTTATATTCCTTCGATCAATAAATAAAATTGATTTTCTTCTAATCCTTTTTAATTGCTTCATTTAAATTATATTAAATAAAAAAAATATTTATTTAATTTTTTTACTTTAAATAAATATTTAAACTTTCTAAGCTTTAAATTTTCTTTAAAGTATTAGATAAAGCTAATATACTCTAAGTATCTTATATATTATTTTAACTTAAATCTAAATGAAGATATTTTAGTTAATTTTAATTTTATAAATTTTTTGATAATTCTAATATATTTTAATCATTTAAGTTGTTTTAACTTTATTAATTTTTGTTTATATTTATTATTAAATTATTTTAATTTTTTTTTTTACGATAAATTAAGCTAAAGCTTTTCTAATTTTATATTAAAGTTAAATATTTTTGATATATATTATACTCCTTAATCTGCAAATTTTATACCTTTAAGCTATAAATCTAAAATTTAAAGATTTTTTAGAGATTAAACACCTAAATAAAAATTATAGAAATCTAATAAATCTGTATTTAAAAATCTTTTTATAAGTTATTTATAAAATAACTATATGTTTTTTAAAAAATATAAAACTTGTTTGTAATGTTTATTTTAAGGACAACTATTTATTAAAATAGGCTTAATGTATATTTTTAAACTTTTAAAATTTATTAAGTAATTTAATTTCCTCTTTATTATTTAAAATTAATATAAAAATTTAAAAATTTATTACTTAAAATTTAAATCTAAATTTTATATATTTTTAAAATTAGATATCGATTTATAAAAAGATATAATTTATCTTTCACCAATTTAGTTATTTCTAAAATAATATATATAAATAATAAAAAAATATATAATTATATAAATTTTATATATTTATATATATATTTAATATTTTTTTACTCGAAATCAACTATTAATATTAATAAATTTTAAGCAAAAACTTATGATATATATTCGAAATCTATTTCTTATGAATCATTAATTTGAGTATTTCTATTAATTTTAATAATTTTTTTTTTACAAGTATTTTTATAATTTTTTTTTTATTAAATTTTAATTATTTTATAAAATCATTTATTTTTTATTAATAATTATATTTATTTAATAATAATCATAATGTTCAAAATTTTTACAATTTTTTTAATAAATTTTTTACTTTAATAATAGTTTAAGTTTTTATAATTTTTTAAGCATTTTTAATCCTTTTAATAATGTTTACACGCCTTAGTTTTTTATAGGATTATATCTTTGTTTTATAAAAATTAATATATTTTAGAAATTTTATATAATTACGATAAATCTAATTTTAATGTAATTAAATTGTCCATTTTTGAAATAGCTTATACTAAAAAAATACATCCTTAATTTGAGATATTATTTTATCTTATAAAAATATTTTTATTTTTTTATAAAATTATATTTCTATATTTTTTACTATAAATTAATTTTAAATTCTGTTAATAATTCACAATTCATATATTCTAATCCATAAAATTAATTTTCTAACCTAATGCCTTTGAAATTTAAATGAAATTACTATATTTATAATTAACTAAAAGAATTGAAAAGTTCGATTAGTTATTAATATTAGATATTATCATAACTAAAATTTATGCATACTTATTTTAAATTGATCATTTATAAAAATTTAGACTTTAAATATTAAATATCTATATTTTGTTAGAATTCTTTTAACAATATATTTATATATTTTATTGATTTTAATGCTTCAAATGTATATTTTTATAATAAGGGATTTAGCAAGTCTTAATTTATGTTTTTTATATTAAAATATAAACTCTTAATTGGAAAATTAAAATCCTTTATATTTTTTAATAATTCTAAATCCTATTTATTTTATAAATCTAACATTAAACCATTTATTTTTAAAGAAAAATCAAAATTTAAAATTTCTTATAAATCTTAAAAATATAGAAAATGTGTATTTTTATTTATCATTATTTTTATTATATTTAGATATATTTAAACAAAGTTTTTATTTTATATAGACTAATATAAAAGATAATTAAAAAGGATATAAATATAAAATAAAAAAATATGATTTTATTTAATTTATATATTAAAATAATCTAATCGTATAATTTTATTTTAGATAATTAAAATATTTTATTATGTTTGAAATATATATAATATATAAAATATATTTGAAATAATGATAATTAAAATTAATATTTTAAATATAATATGTTTTAATATTTGTATATATATAATAGAAAGATAAAATAATATTGATATTGATATTGATATTTATATATTTATATATATATATAAATATATATATATATATATATATTATATTTTTTATTTATATTTATATATATATATTTTATAAATAATATATATATATATATATTATATATATCCTTAAATTTAATTTATATATATATATTTTTTATATATTTGACAATATAAATATTTTCTTAATTATTTTATTTTTTATTTATTTATATTATTATTTTTTTTATTTTATTGTTTTAAATTATTTTGATTAAAAATTATTTAATATATTAATTTATTATTTATTTAAAAAAATTAATAAAATAATAATATATGATTATTATGTAAATAAAAAAGAAAAAAAAAAAATTACAAAAATTCATTCATTAATATTACTATCGAATGATAAAACCTCTTCTTCTATTTTGCTTAAAAGACCTGCAATTTATTCATCTAATAATTCTTTAAATTTTTTTTTTGTAATATCATCTAGCTCTTAAAATAATTAACAAAATAATATTTAAAAATATAAAATTATTAAATATAAAATATAAAAAAATTTTTTTTATTATATATATATATATATATATATATATATATATATATATATATATATATATATATATTATATGTATTCATATTTATATACTATGTTCTTCTGCAAATTTATTAGCAAGTTATTCTGATCTATCGTTTTCATAAACTATTATTCTTTTAGTCATTCCCTAACCAAGATTTACATCAACAAATAATAAAGGAGTTTTTTCTTTTTTATTATTTTATTTTTCATCTTCTTATTCATCATTATTTTCTCCTTCTACTTCTAATACTTGATTTTCTATTTAATACTAATATGATTATTATTTATTTTTATCAAGTGAAAATTAAGTTTTTTTTCTTTAATTATTTTTAATGTTATTGATATAATTACTATTATTATTAGTATTACTATTATTATTAATATTAAATGATTAATTAGAAGATTTTTATTTTTAAACTTAATCCCTTCGTTTTCCTTTTTATATCATTTCGTTAATCATTTCTTTTTCTCTATAAGCATTTCTTATTCTATCTATACTTTTATTTATATCTTTTGCAAATATTTCTTATTTATTATTTATTTTTGATTTCTTTTTTTTTTCGTATTTATATTTTTTTTTTTTAAAAATAAAATAAAATATATATATAAATATAAAATATTATCAATATAAATTATAAAAATTTATATTAATATATACAAAATAAATTGTAAATATAAATATTTACAGTAGTATTTGGAAAAAAAGTACATTCTTCAAAATTTTCATCACTTTTTTTTTTGGAGAAGAAATAATTAGTATTTTTTTTCGTTAAAATGTGTTTCTTTTAATTCTAATATAATTTAGAGATTACATTTTATTTATTATTAGTATATTATGTAAATTCAGGTTTGAAACTACATTCTTGCATTTCTTTAGCTTAAAATTCTTATTTTTTCTATAATAAGCTTTATTATTAGGTTATTTTTTATAACATAAGTAATTATTAAAGCTATATTTTACCGTTTTCAGGAAGTTTTATTTAAATATTGTTATTTAAGAGCATTTATTAAGCCTAATTTATTATTTTTTACCTTTTTTAATTTGCTAAATAATTGTTATAAGGAGAAATTTAAATTGTAAACTATTGATCCCAATTGAATTTATTATTTTTTAATTATTCATAGGTTAATCTATTCCTGTAAAATGGCTCAAAAGTGAGCCTAATAAATTTTTTGTCTTCTAAATCCAAAATCCAATTTCTTCCTTAATTAAAAAATGAACCTATAACAATATTTTAAATTTAATTTTCTTTTTCTTCATGAATATCAAGCATTAATTTAATACTTTTATTAGTTTTTTAAAAGCAGGAGCTTTTTTAAGATTTTAAAATTTAAGAAAAATTTTCATTATTTGTAGAGGATGTATTTGTATATATATTATTAATATTAATATTATTATTATTATTATTATTATTATTATTACTATTATTATTGTTTTTATTGTTATCATTTTTATCGTTGTTATCATTGTTATCATTATTTTTATTATCATTAAATTTATTATCATTATTATTTATATTATCATTAATATTATTTTCTTGCCTTTAATCTTTTTCTAAAATATTTATTAAATTTTCATTATTATTTTAATTTTAATTTAAAGATAAACCTAAAATACATTAGAAAAATATTTACAAATTCTAGATATATATTTTTTGATATGTTTCTCCTCCTAATAATTACCATAATAGAAAAATTAATTTTTTTTCACTTTACAATAAATTTCCATTTGCTTATTATTAGTATTTTATAAAACCTAGTTTTATTAAAATTTCTAAAACATTAGCAAGTTCTATATATTCTTAGTTTTCTAATTTTAAATCATTAAGTACTTATTAGAATTCTCTTTAAAATTTAAAAATTAGTACATTTTCATTTTTAGATGAGATTTTTTTTTTCTAGTTTTATATATAGGAAGTGGATGTAGATCTTTGTTTTTCTTAAGATTTGACTTATTGTCTTCTTTAAGCATCTTTATATAGAATATCTTAAATTTTTTCGTTTCTGTTTATTTTTTTAGATTTAACATCAATGTTTGGAGTAAAACTGTTGTTTTCTTTATTATAATTGTTTTAATTTAAAGAGTCTTTTTTTTATATGTAATATAAACGAGCATAGGCTGGAATTTCTGATATATGTTTGAATTATGTTAATTGTTTAGATTTTTAGGAAATTTATGGCTTTTCTAAAAGTTCTTTTAGTTATTCTTGTTCTAATTATAATCTATTCTTTTTTATTTTATTAATATATTATAATATTTATATTATTTATATATAATTATTTATTACTATTTAGTTTTTTTAATCTACATATTGAGAAAATTAAGTTTGTAAATAAAAAATTAATCAAAAGTTCTGTTTCCTGCATAGTTATTTATTTTAGGTGTAAAAGTGCATTATTCCATTTATGTTTTTATGATATTCTTGGCTAGCTTCTCTTTTTTTCTTCATATAATTATTTGGTTTATATTAATTTTCTTTAATATTCTTCTTATTTATTTTTAATTTGTTTTTTTGAAGTTTTTAAGGTAATTCTAATAATATTACTGATGAATTATTATTGTTTATTTTTTCTTGTGAATTATTTGTATTAAATTATATGTTTTATTCGGTTATATTTGTTTTATTGTAATTGTAAAAACTACTATTTTTACAATATTTACGTAATTATGTTATTGATTTTGTTCTTGAAAAGTAATATGCCTGATTTTTTTTGTATCTTCTAATCCATCACATGAGTCATTATCACCACTTGGCTTTGTATGGAGATTGTTTGTAGTATTTAAATTATGTAAAGTTTAGATTTTATGCTCCTACATAATTATTTTTATATTTTTATTAGTTAAATATTGATTTAAAAAATAAATAGAGATGTAAGTATTATTTAAATTTTTATTTAAAAAAAAAAAATTAAATGTTTATATATTTTTCTTATTTTATAATAATAAACAAAAAAAATATAATTGTTATAAAATATTAATATATTTAAAAAAATATATTGGTTTTATATAATTTTTAATATATATTTTTTTATTTATATATATTTTTATTTATATATATTCATATTTTTTATATTTTATTATTTTCTTTTTTAGTAATTAGAAATTTTTTTCAATATAATTCTCATTTTATTTACATTTATTAGATTATCTTCATATAAATTGTAATAATTTTTTTTTTTTATTATTTATTTATTTAGCCAAATATCTTTTAATTTAGTATTTGTTTTTGTTAATAAATTATAAAGTATTAAATATCTTTCTTTATATTTATTTGAAGATAAAAAAATTTAAATTTGTTTTATTATATAACTATTGAATAAGAAAAAATAATTTTTTTTTTTTATTTTTTTTATTAAAAAAATAAATATTTAAAAATAATTTAATTTTATACATAATTTAAAGAAGTCAATAAATATTCCTTATTTCTGCTGATATTTTTGGAAATAGTATTAATTTTGAAAGCTTAAATTTATTTTTGTTATTTATTTCGATATACTTAAAAATAAGATGATTATATGCATAGTGTAGGTAGAGCTGGTAAATTTTAAACTAAAGGGATCGCTATATCATTTATATCTACTAAATAAATAGGTTCTTAAAGATATTTAAGATAATTTTTCGACAAAAACTAAGTATATATAATTTATCTAATATTATTGATAATTGATTTTTATTAATTTTTGTTCTAGTTATTTATAAAAAAAAGTATAATAAATATAAATTTATTTTTTATTTATTGATATGTCTATTTCTTTTATTTTTTTAAATATTTTAATTAATATATCATATATAAAGTATATATATTGAATGCTATTAAAAAATATTAATATTATTCTTTTATTTTATATCTAATTTAATATAATATATAAAATTTAAGGAGAAAATTTACATTTAAATTAAGGAAAAATACATATTTAATTTTTTTTATTATTTACATGATTTAATAAAATAATTATTATATCAAATAATTTAATTTAAAGAAATTATTATATATAATTTTTTTTTAATAAAATTTTTGTTTTATATATTAATATTTTTTTTTTAAAAAAATATTTATTCTCGGAATAAAATTCTTAAATATCAAATTTCTTTAAATGAAAATTAGAATAAAATATTTAAAAATAAATTGCGGTATTAAATAAAATTAAATTATCGAAAATAAAATAAAAATTAAATTAAATTATATTATCGAAAAAAATATTTCTAATATTTAGTAAAAAAAAAATAAAAAATATTTAATTAATTTTAAAAAAAAACGAATATATATAAAAAATAATAAAAGGTACATTTATATCTAAAAAAATAAATAAAAAAATGAATAAAGAAGGAATTTAAAATCCCGAATACGAAACAAAAAGCATTCAATAAGAATAAAAAATCTTAAAATCAGAGTAAAAAAATAAAAGAAAAGATAAAAATAAAAACAATAAATATGTAGTTAAATAGTTATAAACTATTCAACTTTTAATGATTTTAATTTAAATGAAGATTTATTAAGAAGTATAAAAGAAGCTGGTTTGATAACACCTTTTGAAGGTATGCAAAAATATAATAAAAGATCTTAAATAATAATAAAACAAAAAAAATAGTATAATAAAAATGCATTCCAAAAGCAATATTTGGAACCGATATTTTATGCTAAGCAAAAGCAGGGACAGGAAAAACTGCAGTTTTTGTAATTTCTGTATTGAATTAATTATCTGATAATTCACCTCCTTTTTCCTGTTTAGTATTATGCCATACACGTGAATCTGCCTATTATATCAAAAACGAGTTCAAAAGGTTAGGAAAATTTACTATATTTAAAACTGAGACTGTATTTGGAGGAGTTTAAGAAAAAATAGACGCTGTAAAATTAAAAAATGAACAACCTCATATTTTAGTGACTACACCGGGTAAATTTTAATCTTTACTAAAATAGAAAGAATTAATAAAAACTATTAATGTAAAGCATTTTATTGTTGATGAATGTGATAAAGTAATGGAATGTTTAAAAATGAGAAAGGTTGTGAAAAAAATATTCATGTAATTACCTTTATAGAAATAGGTTATGATGTTTAGTGGTACTATTTGTATTGAAAATAAATACATTTGTTGGAAATTTACTCATAATGTTACTTTTTTTTGTGAATATATATTTTTTTTGTTAATTTTTTTTATAGTAATTAGAAGTTATTATTGAAGATAATTATAAGTAAGAGTTAGTTGGATTAGATTAATATTATTTAAAAGTGGATGAAAAATTAAAAATTTCGATGTTAATTTAATTTTTGACTTAATTTTCATTTAATTAAGTCATTATTTTTGTTAATAAATTTGAAAGAGCTGAATGTGTTTCTAAATATTTACTTGAAAAATAAAAAATTGAAAGCTAAGTTATATGTAGAACTTTTGAATTAGATAAAAGGTATTTTAAATATTTTTATATGTATTTTATTTAAACAAAAATAAAAAAAGAAATTAAATCTATACAGAATTTATATAAGGAAAAAAAAGAGTTCTTGTTGCCACAGATCTTTTTGCTAGAAGCAGTTATATTGAAAGGATAAAATTAGTTATTAATTTTGACATGCCGGAAAAATATGATGATTATATGCATAGAGTTGGAAAAGCTAGTACATAATAAACAAAAGGAATGATTATTTCATTTGTTTCTACTAAAGAAGATGATTATGTCCTTAAAGATATTTAAAATTCATTTTAGACAAAAATAAGTGAATATAATTTACCTAATATTGCTATTTGATTTCTTAACTATTTTATTTTTACAATTAAATAGATTACTTTTTAATTTTTTATTATTTTTAAAGATTTTTTTTTTATTCAACAAAAATATTAAGTTTTTGTAATTTTTAAATAATTTATAATTTTTTAACTATATCTTATAATTTTTATTTCTAAAAATTAATTATATTTTTTAAATAGATATACAAAAAAATTATATATAAAATAAAATTATATAAAATTAAAAAAAAGAAAAATATTAACATGAAAAAGAAAGTAATACAATTATTTTAGTATATATTAATAAAATTCAAATTATTTTAATGAATATGTTGAATATATATATATATGTTTGAAAATATATATTTTTATTTAAAATTATATATATATATATATATATATATATATATATATATATATATATTTATATTTTTTTATATCTATTTATCTTATAATTTAGTTATATTTTGTTTTTTAAAATAATTCATATTTTATTTATTTTTTATTTATTCTTGTTATAATTTTATTTAATTTTATATATTATATTATTTTTAACCATAATGTTTATAATTTTTGTTGTAAATCTTTTTTTTATTTTACATTTATTCATATTTAATATTAGCTTGAATCATTAATTTATTTTTTTTCTTTCTAGATATAAATTTTTATATATTATTTTAAAAAAGATTTTTTGTTTTTATTTTTTTCTTTTAATTATTAAATGTTTTATTTTTATTATCTTTTTATATATTTTTTTATTATTATTCGTAAAAGTTATTTTGTATTAAATTATATTTATAATATTTTTAATTTTTTTTAAATTTTGTTTTTATATAAATTATTTATATTTTATTTTTCTTATATTTATAGAATAATTAAATCTTTTATAAATATAATAATTTATTTTACAATATATATTTTATTTTATTTTCTTAATTAATTCATTTTTTTTAATTATAAATGTGTTTTTACAAATTATGTTATATTTTGTTTTTTAACATTTATAATAATTATACTTAATTTTTGTTTTGTTTTGTTTTGTTTTGTTTTTTTTGTTTTTTTTTTTTTTTCTGTTTTATTTTTGTTTTTGTTTTTATTTTTGTTTTTGTTTAATTTATATCTTATTAATGACTATTAATTTTTAAGTAGATTATTAATTAAATACTATATTTGATTAAATTTATATATCTTTAATGATTTTATAAATTAATTTCATAAAATCATTTTTGATTTTTAAACTTTTTTAATTAGTTTATTTGTTTTATTTTTTATTGAAAAATATTTATTTTTGATATATTATTTTAATATATTTATTTATTTATAAAAATAAAAATAATTAAATTTTTCTAATTTAAAAAATAATATGTTTATACTTTTAATCTTAATGCAAATATTGCTCTAAACATTTAATAATCTTAATAGCAAAATTAAACTATTTTAAAAAGTCTACTGAAAGTTTAAAAATCATAAAAAAATTCAAATTTGTTTTTATTTATTAATTTATTAAAATTTAATATAAATACTATATTATTTATTTAGTTATAAATCTTGTTTGTAAAATAATTATAAATTTATATACAAAAATTTGATTAAATTATAAGTTAAACTTGGAATAATAAAACTTTAGGACATAGATGAAAAATATTACTAGAATATAGAACGAATTCGTTTTTTTCAAATGTTTGCATTATGTATAATATAGGGTAAAATTCATGAAATAAATATCGTAATTAGAATAATAAGAAAATATGCAATTTAATTAAAATTAATTTTAAATGGTAAAAACAATATAAGAATAAGAAAATATGAACGAACATTTTAAAGTTAATTTTTATATTTTTAAAAAATAGTAATAAATCTTTTAAAGTCAATAAAAAAAGATCTAGAGGATTTAAAGAAAATAAATCGATAAAACATAAAATTATTTATTTATAAATAAATAAAAAACTATAAAATAATATATAATATATATGAATATAAATATGAATATATATAAATACACATATATATATTTATATAAATATATATATATATATACATAAATCATTATTTGTTATTATTTACGAAAATCAAACAAGATTATTGTATGATGCATTCCTTATTTGAATATTATACTTCGTTTCATTTTTTTATTAATTTCTTAACAAAAAATTGAAATAAATATATAAATTTTTTTATACATATATAATATATAAAATAATTACTATTATGTATTTAAAAACTTATTTTAATTTTTTTTTAAAGATGAACATTTAATATGTTTTCTAGATTTAAGACCTTATTAAATTTAATTATTTTATTAATCTAAATTTATTTAATCTAAATTATTAAAAGAAGTTATATTTTAAAATTTAATTTTTTTTATATTGTATCATTTTAACATAAGTTTAATCTTTTATCTAAAACTTAATGCAGAATTTTAAATTATTAATTTTGTATTTCATTTTATTGATTTTGAGATTTTAAATAAGGTAAGCTTTTATTTGGACGGGTAGAAAAAAATTTTTCGATATCTTATTTTTATTAAAATTCACCTTAATTTTTTTACCAAAAATTAATATTTTTTTTATTATTTTAATTAATATTTTTTTAATTTATTAATTTTTGATTTTATACAAAAGAACAATTATTTAATTAGTTTATAATATTAACATTTGCACTATTATAAGCTGTTTAATTCATTTAACTTTTGTTTATATTAATACTTTATGATGTTTATTGTGAGGAAAGAATACAAATATTGGGAATAGTGGTAAGTGTTTTATCAAGATTATTAAGACTTTGTTATCTAGAGTTTGCTTTAGATGATACATTAAGTTATTATTTTGGTTAAACAGATAGTAATCTCAATTTTTAGATTGTGGATTAATTATATATAACTCCATCTCCTAAATCAATGCTAAAATCAGAAGTTTTTTTTTAGTTTTTAATTTCTTATTATAAAAAATCAAAATTACTATTTTTTGGATTTATTTTTAATGATTTATAAGCTAAATTTGATTTTTGAATTATTTCATAGCCTTTTTTGATTTCTTTTCGGGCATCTTATTCAAAATTTATTATTTAAATTTTTTCTAATTCTTTTTATTTTTATTTAATATTTTAGAGGGTTTCTTAGTCTTATTATTTGTTAAATATATTATAATTATTAATTCTATTATTTCTTATTTCGTTTTTTTTATTATTTTTTTTAAAATAATCAATTAATTTATCTATTTCTTAACTATTTCTTTAAAATATTTAAAGTAAATCCTATATATATATATATATATATATATATATATATATATATTTATATATATATAAATAAAATTTGTATTTTATTTTACATCTTTTTGTATTTAGTATATTATGGCTTTATTTGAATAAATTATAGAACCATATTTGTAATTTTATTCTTTTATTAACTCTTCTAAACCCACAGATTCTCCTTTAGATAAAATTGCAACATCATAAAAAAGTACATTTTTGTTAGAAATTTGGAATGAAACATTATTCATTTCATTATTTTGGTCAATATTAATATTGTTTATATTATTTGTAATATTATTATTATTATTATTATTATTATTATTATTATTATTATTATTATTATAAATCATTTTTTTTTAAAGTTTAATTTCTCCTTCTTTAATAAAATAAACGAAATTTACTTATTCATTTTATTTATTTAATATATTATTTCTTTTTAAAGATATTTATTACATTTTTAAATAAATTTAAGAAGCAGTTCTTTATTCAAAAACTTTAATAATTTCTAGTTAAGAGAATTATTTAATTTCATTTTATAATTATTGTTTTTCTTGTTATCTTACAATATCATAAAATTTAGATTTTTCTAAAGAAGCCAAATGACAGTTATCAAAAAGATATACTTAATGTGTCGATATAACTATATTTTTTTACAAAATTGATTAATCTCCATATGATCCGCCTCTTTTTATATAAAAACATTTGGAATTTAATATTTATTATTCAAGGATTATATTTTCTGATTTTTAACTTTTTTTTGTTTATTTAATATTATTTACTTAATTATTATTTATTTCATTTTATTATGATTCAAAATGAGTTATTTATAATATTCCCTTTAATAATAAATATAGTTTATTTTGCAATTCGCCTACTTTTTGAAAATATGAGCCGGCTTTATAGTATTTATATCTCATGTTTTTTAAACATTTAAATAAGATAAATTAACCTTATTATTTTTTTATTGTTTGTAATGTTTCATTATTCTAAAATAATTTCGCTAATATTAAAATTTCTTCAAACAATCTTTTATCTACGTCTTTTCTTAAAATTTATATAGAGTACTTTTAATATAAAAAAAAAATATATTTGAAAAAATATAAATATATATATATAATAATATAAAATATATATATATATATATATAAATATATATATATATATATAAATATTTATTTATTATAATATTTACTTCCCATAATTCTTCTTAATCTATATTATCTAGGTGTGAATATAGTTAATCTTATGTTATTTAATCTAATTAAAAGTATATATATTCTCTTCTAATACATGGTCCTAAATATTAATTAAATATTTCGTTTAATTTTGTAAAGAAATATTTATCGGGTGTTAATTCTTTATTTTATCTTTCGTTTTTTGCCATATTTTCAAAATTATATATAAATTCATTGTTGCTTAGAGTTGTTTAGAATTCTTCTATTTCGCTTAAGGATTTCGATTATTTTAATTAATTTTTAAATCCATTTTTAGCTCTAAAAACTTATACTATTTAAAACATTTTTTTTAAATTATAAATATTTTTTTTTTTAATTTTTTTAATAAAATGGATTATTTTTAATGTTAAATTTTTTCTTATATATAGTTCTTATAAATTAATTTTTTTTTTTTTTAAAATATATATTAAACTATTTTTATATTAATATATTTTAAAGTTAAATTTAGAGTTTATTTATGGTTTATATTAAAATTTTTAAAATATTTTAAAATTTAATATACGAAAAAAATATAACAAGTGTATTATTGATTATT